AATCATTTTGTAAGCAACGTGAGAGTGATATATGGACTAACTAACCATAGCCCAACAGTTGAATGAGTGTTTGAAATCACAACAAGAAATATTAGTAGGAAAACACAAGTGTATAGATTTTTCCCACAATTTAGATAGATTTCAATAATACTGGTATTACTGATGTAATAAGTTCAAGGAAAATCGACCTAACAGTAGGTCTTACATCATACCATATAGAAAAGTTTGACAGTTCTTAGATTCCTAATTAGAGTACTGAAAGTTAGGAATATTTTACAGACAAGTGCTACTTAGAGCACAGATGTTAAAGGCTAATCCTTAACCCTAAAGATAATGATGTACTAGACATCATCTAACGGCGATGAATATTCCTCGGGAGAACCCTAAGGTCTCTCATTTGACGGACCACCTCTTGAAGGTGTTGCTCATGAGCACTTTGACGAGCTCGGAGTTCCATGACTTCAGCTTGAGAGGCAACCAGATGTTGTGTAGGGTTTCATTGGTTCTCCGGGTCCGTTCCATGTCTTCTTCAAGACGGCGGATGCGGACTGTGTTGACACCTGAGTTGGCATCAATCTCCATGACCCGGTCGATGGCTGCTCTACCTTGCTCGACATTACGAGCTATTCTGCGGATAATGACAGGCAGGGCTCGGTCAGCAGAGCCACCATTGCTGACGTTGTAAAAGCTTCGGTCCCCAAAGTATGGTAAGGGTTGACCCTGTTCATCACTCCAACGATTCAAGTTGTTTGCCCATAAGGGAGTAGGACCTGGAAAAGCTGGTCGAGGGTTGTTGTTGGGGGTTGACCTACGAGCGGTAGGTTGTTGACTTCAGGCTCAGAGTCTGATCCATCTGAGAAGCCTTCAGCTTGATGATCATCCAACGGAATTTGGTGTTCATCGTCAGACTCTGCTTCGAGCCTTCCTATGTTGCCTTCATTTGGAAAGTACGGGTCGTCGTGATGGAATCCAGCCATTTAAATCTACGCGAGAAGAGAGGTATAAAGATATAGTATGTATGTAGTTAATAGCACAAAATACACCTATAGTATTTTAAGTTTAAGTTCCACTGATCTTTTTGTGGCATTGTTGGTAAGTTTTTAGACTTGTTAACACATCACAACTATTCTAGGGCATATGCTAATCACTCCTCGGACCAGCATAGTTGATCAGGCTATGCCATTCCCAGGACTGACCATACATCCCCTAGCTTACCTGTGATATTTAACAATCGTAATACTCTTGTTCTTGTCGTTGTGACACTGGTTTTAGTATGAATGCAGACTAGTATACTTAATTAACTATTTTAGTATTTAAAGTATAGACTCTTGGTCAGAGTGTTTTAATCCCAAATGGGTTTATAGTTTAGTATATCTTTTATGGGTTGATATACTTGCTTCACTATAAACAATGCTCTGATACCAATCTGTCACACCCCAAAACCAAGAATGGCGGAAACGTTCTGGGGCGGAGGACGTCATGTAAAGTATCACAACACAGTAAATGTAAATAAGCAAACAACATCATCCATTGCATTAAATATAAAATTTTAATACAAGCGTGTTCCGTACAGTTTTAGACACCAAAAATATAATTTAAATCAAAATAATATGATGAGTCTTGAATGCGCTCCATCTTCTCAAAAGCTAGCATCGGTACCTGACTACTGATGACCTGAGAATACAAGTTATTTTGAAAGAGTTTATCAGCATTAAGCTGGTGAATTCATAAGTATTTTAGTGTCGAGGTTGTTATCAAAACGTTTGAACCTGTCGCAAGTATGAGTTGTAAATGTATGTAAGTGTTTGTAAAAGTTTGAATCTCTCAGAAAAACCTATATTTTCTGTTAAAGTAGCCCTCTACCAAGGCTTAACTGTTTTGTATGCTCGTTTGATGTAAAAGTGTGTAATTTCCCAAGTGTAACTATCATTTAACAAAATATAGTTTGTACATTAAAGTTTAAGTGAGGTTATCACCAAAATGTAATGGGTAAATTATTGTAGTACGGTAGTTTTGTTTTATATGAACTACTGTGTACTAACTACCTTAAACCGGGTTTATATTAAGGTATCGTGTGATAAATTGCACCATACTATCGACTGGTAACATCGACAACGTATAGTCGAAAAATAAGGTATGACGTTTGGCACCCGCAGACCTGTCGGTCCCACTGTAGCTAGCAGCGAGGTGTAGGATAGTCAATCCAGTATAGATCTATACGCAAACTCACGCTCTCCCTCCAAGAGACTCTGGCTACAACTCGGGTCATGTCAATTAAGACATGCTCCCATACAGTGGATCACAATTGTTAACGTATTCGTGTATATGCAATATAATGTTACTTGTTCTAGTATCGTTGTATATGTTCTCTTAGTAATAAGTATTGACTCCTGAATGAACTGACTCGTTGATCTAGAAATTGTAGTAGTATGATCCCGTGTTACCCCGATGGTAACTTACTAACGAGGTGCTGATAAGTATGAATATGGAAGTACTTTTATGTCAATACATGTATATATGATATATAACTAATATTGAAACGACCCTCGGATGGTCACCCGAAATTCCACCAGACCACATCCAAATCGAGGAAAAGGAAATAGGACAGGTGGCTTTCCTAAGCCCTTTAAACATTATTTATACAGCTATACATATATGGGCATGCAAATTTATAGGTAGTAAAACAAAGTTTACAATAAAGCATTTGATAAGTAAAAGAGTTTGTAAAATTTTGAAGTAAAACAGTTTGAACAGTGATAAAATCATTGGTTTCCTAGTTATTAATCACATGTGATTAATGCAATCACATGTGATCGAAGCAATAACTATAAGTGTTTAACGTGTATCCCCCCCCCTAAAGTATTTAAAACATTTAAAAGCATTTCAAAGGTTGAATAAAGGGGTATGAACTCACTTGGAAGTTTGAAGATAGCGAGATCGAAAACCGGGCAGAGTTTCGTCTCGGGAAACGGATTTTTCTCGGGATTCTCGGGAATCTCGGGAGTAAAATCGACCCTCGGGACTTGAGCAAAAAGACCAGAGCTTCGGGTTTGAACGGGCACGGAAATCGAGGCAAGATCGTGAGAGAAAGAGAGAAAATGAACAAATTTTTCGGAAAGGCTCGCATCCCTTTTATAGGGGTGCTGAACCGCCTCCGAACGCGGGGCGTACGGGCGTACGCAGCGCGTACCCGTACGTCATCGCTTACGTATTTCGGATGGAGCGGGTCGGATGGGACGGCGGGTCGGGTAGCTTCGCATAGGGCGACGTGGACGATCCGAGGCCGTGCCCTCGAGTACGCGGGGCGTACGAGGGTACGCGGCGCGTACCTCGGCCCTAGGCTGACTCCTCTTCGGATAATACCGAATTTTTAATAAAAATTATATATAAATTATTTATCAAACTTCAAAAATTCATATCTCCTTCATACGAACTCCGTTTTCGACGTTCTTTATATCCTCGCGAAGGTGAGACTACGATCTACAACTTTCGTTTAGATTCCGTTGGCAAATTCCGAAATTATTTTTATTATTTATTTAATAAAATGACGTGATTAAGGAATCTCTTTAAAAATTCATAACTTCTTTATCTGACGTCGGTTTTTGCCAGACTTTTTACCGTTGAAATACCATTGTCGAGACCTTCGATTCTCGTTTAGGTCATTCCGGCCAAATGTCGCTCGATCTCCGTTTCGAGTTTTTAGCTGTCTGTTGCTAAGCTGAACTTGGAAAAATCATAACTTCAATATACGAAGTCGGATTTGGGCGTTCTTTTTACGTACGATCATGGTTTAATGAGATTTAAACATAGAAGAATTTAAATAGAAACTTTTTGGACATTTTATTATCAAAGTTAATTTTATTAACTCAAAAATGTTTACAATACTTGACCTATTAGGCCATTACAAAGAGTTGAAATATCGGGTTGTCACAGATGCAAATAACCATGTGTATCCCATTGCTTCGGATGTTATTGAAACTAAGAATAAGCCCAACTGGAAGTGGTTTCTTGGAACTATTATATGATGATTTGTGTGTTAATTCTGATTAACACAAGGTAATGTTTTCGATTATATTTATTTGTCATTTCATTTATACATATATCGAGTAGTTACTAATGAAATGTTTTAATGTAATTGATAAGGTCTTTTAGAAGCTACAAAAGTTGTACTACCACATGTGGAGCACATATGTATGCAAATTTCAAAAAGGTCTTTAATGGTACACGTTCACGAATATGTTTTGGATAGTTTCCAAGTCAACTATTGAGGGAGACTTCAAGTTGAATATGGAGAATATTAGAGAAGTCAATCATGCTGCTTGTGATTCTTTGATGGAAACAGGAGCCTAAATCTTGGTGCATGACATTTTTTAAAGGTGGAATGGCATGTGTGACAGTTGAAAATAGAATGGCAGAGTGTTTTAATGCCATCATACTTGATGTTATAAAGAAGACTTTGTTGGCCATGCTTGAGGATATTAGATTATATATGATGGAAATGTTCTTTAACTTGAAGATAGATGCACATAAATGGGTTCATGATATGTGTCCACAAGTTATTAAGAAAATAGATGAGTTTGGTATTGGTATCAAGTAAGTATCATAAATTTGTTATTACAATTATCAATATGAATACTAATTGCAACTTTTATTGTGTTTGCAGGAGCTAATATGTTCATCCAAGTGGTTTGGATGCTTATGAAGTGAGAAATGGCTTCCACTCATATAGAGTGAACTTAGAGGGGATGTATTGTATATGCATACTTTAGGAGTTGTCTGGGATATCCTATGTCCATACCCAAGCAACCATAATTTACACACAACATGATCCATCTAGATCCATCAACACATGGTTTGGTAAGGACAAGTTTTTAGCTACTTATGAGTCTAATATACATCCTATTAATGACAATAATATGTGGGAACCAACACTGACACCAAACCATTATCACTTGTTGAGAGAATGATGCCATGAAGGCCTTGTATCAAAAGGAAAAGGCATGTTTCTAAGCAGGAAGAACGATTCTCCTAAGTCTCATTTAAAGGCAAAACTGTCCAATATTAGAATTGTATGCAAAGGGGGCATAATAAATTATCTTGCAAGAATCCCTCAGTTAACCCTACACCAAATCCTCAAAAGAAAATTTGAAGGGAAATTAAGAATCCAACAGTTAACATTTCAAATTAGGATAATGACTTAATAGGGTAATGTATTTTTCATTTTGTACAAATTTAGTCACTAATTTTTTTGTCCACATTTGACCATTTAACTTGTTTTTTTCAACATTTAGCCTTTATAACAAGCTACTCTAGGTTCTACAAAAAAAAGACTTAATAGGGTAATATAATTTCCAGTTTGTACACATTTAGTCATTGTGATTAGTTTCTTTAGGTTTTGCTCACGATATCATAGATGGGACAATCATTAGTAAGGTGTTCCTATACATGGCTCGTTGCTCACTTATATTCGTAACCTAATTCACGGATTGGTCAAATAATATTGATGTCTTAGTTTTCTCCAAGAAGAAGATATATTCCAGTACTTCGATTTTATCAATCATCAGTGTTGTAAAACTCGTCGAGTTGGCCAATTACTCCTCCGAGTACTCGCTACTCGGCCCCTTACCAAGGCGAGTTATAAAATCTCGAGTACTCCCCGATCGACCCTTACTGAGTAGTGTTGTAAAACACGGTTAACTTGGTGATTAATATGTATAATATGCAATGATTTATTGTCTAACACACACTTGTGATTATTACTATATATATATGTATATATATATATATATATATATATATATATATATATATATATATATATCATAGATTTTCAGTAATTATTCATTAATTGAGACCATTATATGCTTTTTGGCTTTTATGTATTCACGTGTATCTAATTTTGTTATATATTTCAATAAACTTATGATTTTAACTTATGATTTTGACATATATAATTTCTCTAAAAATATTTCTACATGAGTTACCGAATCCGAGTACTCGCTACATGGTAGTCGGCCGAACAGGTACCGAGCAACGAGTTCTACAACCTTGCCAATCATCATAATAGATGATGAGGTATTTTTGTCATGGACGTGCAAATTCGAATTAGGAGGAAGCAATCACAAGGAATTTCTATATCTGTTATGGAGATAGATGAAATTTTTGCTAGAGTGTTCTTTTGTTTTGGAAATGCAAATTATTTAGAGTCTTCCTTAATTCTTTTGTCTTGAAAGTGTAAATTCGAGTTGTGAGGAAACAATAAGAATCTTGTTGTTTGTTATGGAGATAGATAAAATCGAAGTTGAAGATATTTTATGCTTGGAGAAAACTAAGACACTAATATTATTTAACCGATTTATGAATTAGGTTACTGATATAAGTGAGGACGACCCCCGTATAAAAACGTTTCATTAATAATTTTCTCATATAGGATGTTGTGAACAAAACCTTAAGAAACTAATCACAATACTAAATATGTACAAACTTGAAAATTATATTACCCTATTAAACCATTAACCTTTTCAATGATCTAATGAAGGATGTAAATGGTCTAAATATTATTTATGATTAAAAAAATTAATCTTACGAAATTACAAGGCATTTTTTACAAAATAAATGCTAATGTTTTTTATACTATTGTAAATATTATTGTTTGGTAAAACTAGTATTTCATTTTCGTATTTTAATCTCTCTCTCTCTCTCTCTCTCTCTCTCTCTCTCTCTCTCTCTCTCTCTCTCTCTCTCTCTCTCTCTCTCTCTCTCTCTCATAATAGTAAATAAAAAAATAGAGCCACGTAACGCTTTCTCAACTACAATACAAAAAAACATTTCTTGAAATTTAAACTTTTAATACGCTAATCCTTTTTAGTACTTTTACATTACACTCCACTCCAATATCCAACTCAAAACACATCCCAAAAAAGTGAAAGAAACCCTCCTCAAAAACAGAATAACCAATGCTTACCTTTTGCCGATGAGCCTTCTCTCCCTCGTTGTCTTTTTGAAGTTTTAGGGTTCTAAATGCCGCTTCTTTTCAGAAATTAAATCTCTATCTGCGCATCTCGTGCTCACATATATAGTAAGTTGTACATGAATTCCTTCATGGGTTTGAATTTTCTTTGCTAAATTTCATCAATGGAGTCGAATCTGGGAAATGTGTCAATTTTCAGTGGAACACTTCTGTATTTTTATTGTTGTAAAGAGTTTTTTTAGCTGCAAAATGCTTTTAGTTAGTTATCACCATGTTCGTTCAAAGTTTAATTTTTGTTTGAATGCAAAAAAACACTTTTTTTTTTTTGATGATTTTAAATTTCATTATTTGCTACGCTTACCAATTTTTGATGTTTTCTTGGATTCCTTTAAAATATGGTACCTTTTTAGGTGTTTCTTCTGTGAAATTGAAAGAAAATAGGAAAGAGAAGGAAAAAGTTTGTATTATCTACGTACAACTAATGATGAATTGTTTTAAATAATTGATTCAAGGTTTTGAATTTTCTACGAAATATTGAACATACTTTGACTTTATATTTTGGGAAATGTGTATATTCAAAACAGCCCTTCAAGATTCTTCTAATTTCTGATTTTTTCCTTGTGTGTGCTTTTGAGCCAAAAACCCTTTTTTAAACTTTAAATTACTTTGTTCTCCAATTCTCCATCTTTTCTGTTTAAAGTTCAATCTTTTTTCTTTTTTCTCTTTTCTCTTTTCTCTTTTCTTGCAATTTTTGATTGTTTTCATTTGTGGGTTCTCTTGTATTTTACTATGTTTGCAATATATTTTGTAGGATACTTGCTACTTGGCTCTTATGCATTTCAAAATTTTATGTGTCTGTTTAGATTATTATTCACTATAAAAATATGTTTTAGGGTTTTTTTCTCTTTCGTAGAAATTAAAGAACACAAGGGAGAAACAAAACTCAGAAATGAAGATTTATGTGGTTGCAATTTTGGGTTTATTGATAATTTCTTCCACACGAAATTGTTTCGGGTTTACTGATCCTGTTGATAGTAAGTTCTTGATTCCCTCACCTCGTTAACTTTAATTAATTTTTAGTTTTTGGCGAAAAATATATTATTATTTGAATTTTATAATTCAAAGCTTTTATACTTCTCCAATTATAAACCTTTTTCAAAAAATTTGTCGTTGCGAAATTTAGCTACTTTACCTTTATTGATATAAATTGGTTTATAAAATCCTTTCATTTAGTTTGTCATTATTAGACTACGCATATAGTTATTAAACAAAACACGGTAGATTGATAATTTATTTTGTAATTTAAATAAAATAAATCAGTTGGTCAAAAATTTAATAATTATATACTAACATTTTATTAAGATTAGAGGGTAAATATAATATTATCAGAAGGTGGACAAAGTGTAAAATATACACTATTTCAGTAACCACATAAATGCATTTTCACTCGGTTTTTATAAAGCTTTTAACAAATATAAAAAATTAGTTGTTAAGAGGTCGCTTTAAACATTTTTATACGAAAGTCTAATTTGGCCATTATATTTTTAACATTTTATTTTACACTCTAGTTAATTAACGTTTGTAAAATGCTAATATGATTATAGTAATAAGTTTTTGAAATATTAACCATCGGAGATGTTTTTCAAAATGGTTGTAGTGACGTAAACATAAAATTATTCTTTCTAACACAACAAATTTATTGTTTCAATGGTAAAAAAGAACTTTTTAATATTTTTTCCCAAATAACAAAAACTTTAAGAAAAAATCAAATTAGGGTTTTACCCTAACGATATCAATCTTGACCCAAATTATAAATACGATTACAAAATTATTATGACAATAATGAATACCCACTTTTAAACTATTTGACATGTTTTCTTTTTAGTTAAATATTTTAATTTTTTCCCATTTCATCCATTATGAATAAACAATAAAACTACGTTGTTCTTTCCTGTATTTTAATCCTTCCCAAATCAGATAACCGGAAAAGAAAAAAGTTTTCCTAAATTGTCAAAAAAATTATAATGATTTAATACCCAAATAAAACAATAAAAAGTACAAAGGCTTTCTTTTTAATATATTTTTTTTGTCTATATTACTATTTTCAACATTTGTTTACAAATATCAATTTCCATATTTACAGTTTTAGCCATAAATAGCCTATACGCCGCCCTCGGTTTCCCTCCTCTTCTGGGATGGCTGCTCGCAGGAGGAGATCCGTGTTTAGAAGGTTGGCAAGGTGTTCAATGCGTCAATTCCAACATAACAGGAATGTACGACATAAAATAAATATATTTCATGTTTTATCGTTTTACGAATATCTATATGATTGATTAAATTTTAAAATCTGTAATTAATAACTATGTTTAAATTCACAGAGTCCTTAACGATGCTAATTTGGGAGGTGAACTCGGTGAGAATTTGGGAGCTTTTGCTTCAATCATACAAATGTGAGTCTTGTAGGTGTCGTCTCTTTATTGCTTAATGGGACATGACTTAATCAGGACAGCTGTTTATCTTCTTAATAATCTGGACAAAATGACTTAATGTGTTAAGCCAAAAAAACATGGCTTAATGTATTAAGACACTAATCCTTTACCTAAAATGACACAAATGCCCTACGAACTTTCTAGGGTTTACCTGTCGAGTCCCTAAAGTTTTTGTCAGGCTTTATGGGTCCCTAAACTAGGATATGACCTGCTCTTTTGGTCCCTGTCAACCTATAATAGCCGGTTCAGTGATTTTTTTAGACCAAAAAAACTCACATTGTGCCCCTATAAAGCTAAAAAAACAAGTTTGGGGATCAATATGAATTGAGTGTGAATCGACTTTAAAAGAAAAAGAGATTTTTTTTTTGTACGAATTAATCCCCGAACTTATTTTTTTGGTTTTATAAGGGCACGATGTGAATATTTTTGGTCTAAAAGGTCACTGAACCGGCTATTACAGGTTGATAGGGACTAAAATAGCATGTCATATCCAATTTTAGAGACTCATAAAGCCCGATAAAAAGTTTAGGGACTTAACATGTAAACCCTAGAAAATTCGTAGGGCATTTGTGTCATTTTCCCTTAATCTTAAACTTGATGAATATTGTTACTTTTAAAAAATTTATTTCGTTCCATTTTTCCATGTATGACGTCATTTCCTCACATGTTTTTTAAATATCATTTATCTAGACAAGACAACACTTTATACTTTATACAAACAATAATTAATGGAAAAAAAAAACAATGCTTAAGTTTACAACTTTCTTTATGTTAACCTTGTGGTATTTCTATTTTATGATCTTCCATTATACAGAGATTTGAGCAATAACCACATTGGAGGCAATATTCCATCAGATTTGCCAATTACCCTCAAGACATTGTACGTCATGTTTCCATCCTTTTTTTTTTTTTTTTTTCTTTTATCTTTTATCTTTTTGCATTTATTGTTTTGAACATCTTTTCACACACACACATAATATATTTATATAGCTTAAAATAAGTTGTTTCTTTTTTATTTAATGGCCTTACTCCACATGACTTTTTTGATTCAATAAAGAAAGTAAGATTAGTGGAGAAAGTCAAAGAAATGAGGCTGCCATTGTTAACAATTTTTTTTTAAACATCATTTATACATACAACACTACTTAATCCAAACAACATTTAATCGGTAAAATAAAAGAAACAAGGTCTAGAAGATAATTCAAAACTTTTATGACATTGTTTCTTTAATGAAGCTACATCTTTTTTATTTATTTACTTATTTTAATTTTGTTAGCTTTCTCTCTGGGAACCAACTTAAGGGAAGCATACCAGAGTCATTGTCTACTTTAGGCCAATTGACAGATTTGTAAGTTTCCTTTTCATATATAATATTTCCTCTGTTATTTTCTTTAATCAATTGTTCTTTTATTTATTTATTTATTTATTTTTTTAAATAATTGTAGGTCTTTGAACAACAACCATTTGAGTGGAGTCATTCCAGATTCCTTTCAACAACTTATCGCATTGAGTAATTTGTATGGCTTCTTTTTTTTTTGATAAATTCAAATAGGCAAAATACAACAAAGCACAATGTACTTTCATCATTTTATTCATTTAGCCACTTTTTTTAATCTCTGTAGTCATTAAATCATTATACGTTTTTTAACCTTTTCAAAAAAACCAATTAAAATTAGTTCGGTGGCAAAATTAATAAATGGTGAAAATACGTCGTGTTGGTATTTTTAAACTACCCAAAAACGTATAATCGTCCAATCACTAAAAAAAATAAATTGATTAATTAAATCAATAAAATAATATATATGTTTTAAATTTGATTTTTTTTTTTCAGGGACTTATCTCGCAACAATCTAAGTGGCCCTTTGCCTCCTTCAATGGTGAACTTGTCATCAATTTCCACGTTGTAAGTCGTTTATATGAGCTTTGAATTTGAACAATGATGAATAAAAAAATAAACATAATATTAATGTTGTAAACATCAATAAATAAATTTATATTTTGGGTATCTTTTTGTTTTACTTTTACAGGCATTTAGAGGACAATTATCTCACTGGGGTACTCGATGTGTTGCAAGATCTTCCCCTTATTGATTTGTATGATTCTTGCCCTATTTTTTTTTCTTCCATATAAAGATTCTCTCAAGATACATATATTTTCATTTTTTATTGTTTCTATTATATATATTATTATTATTTGAAATAAATATTTTGTCGTAACATAGGGATATCGAGAATAATCTTTTCTCTGGGCCAATCCCACCGAAATTGTTGAGCATTCCAAATTTCAGGTACAAATTAATGATTCCGTAACAAATATAATCTTTTCTCCAAATTATAAAAGTTTTTGATAATTAATCAGATGTGTTCGATACCCTTTAATTGCAATTTTCGATAGTCAAAAAGTGTGTTTGACTATTAGTGAAATATCCAAAATACCCTTGAATAATTGCAAAACATAAAATCTAATCGACCAAAATCCAAGTTACCAAATATCGTCTCATAAACAAGATTCCAATTTGATTGCCATTCGTGAAGGCTCTCAAAACATGAAAATGTTTCAATTTTTGTATATGTAAACAAATAGTTGCAATGATTTTTCTTGTTCAAGCTATTTAAACGATATATAAATATAACATTTATATATACAATGCAGAAACAAAGGAAACCCTTTTAATACAACCATGATTCCTTCGCCACCTCTCTCATCTCCTTCACCATTCCCGCCTCAAACTCCGGAAACAAGCTCCGGAATTGAAGCACTTGGACCTTCTTCTCCAAAGCTACCACACGATTCCGGTCAACAAAAGTCAATATTTAGTAGTAAAGTTGTTTGGGTTGCAATTAGTGGATTCTTGATTATTGTTTTGCTTGCACTTGGATTTTGCATTCGCATGTCAAAACGCTACAAAGAAAAGTCAAGTATCAAAGTTAGTGATCATATCAAGTCTTCCTCAAATCCACCTCATCTTAAAGAGAATGGTAAGTTAAACACAAAATAATTGTTTTAAAAACATTCTTTGAGTTTAATGGTTTGCATATTTCGACCTTGAAAGTCAAAAGTTGGCCATAACACTTGTGATCTCTTTGTTACACAGAAGCTCAAAGGAATGATAATGGAAGAAATAACTTATTGCCAATATCCAATGTGAAAGAAAAGAAAAAGGAAACCATTTCCATGAATCCAACACCTCCTCAACTTCTTTCAAGAGAAAGTGTCATTGTAAAGCCAATGGTGATTCCAACAAACACAAATGCGAACACTTCAAGAAACATAAATTCTCCCAAATCTTTCTCAATTGCTTCTCTTCAACAATATACGAATAGCTTCTCTCAAGAAAATTTTATTGGTAGAGGCGTACTTGGCCCAGTTTACAAAGCCCAATTCTCTAATGGAAAGGTAATTTTTTCTTTTTTTACAGATAAATTGTTGTATGAATAATTGATGCTTAAAAATTTATTGAGAAAATGACTTCACTTTTGGGAAACTCGAAGGGAAAAATAAACGAGAGTAAGTTTTTAAAATGATACACCCATATATTGCTTAGTAGATTACGAATACATACAATTTATCGTTTTTACATGTTTTCGTAATCTTATTTTTGTTTGGGAATGCATATCATTTTTTTTACATTTTTTTTTAGGTATTTGTAGTAAGAAAATTGGAGAATATATCTTTGAGGCAATGGAGTGATGAAGATTTCATGGGTATGGTGTCGAATGTCTCAAAACTTCAAAATGAAAATATAGTTGGAGTCGAAGGTTATTGTATAGAACATGGACAAAGGCTTTTTGTCTATGAATATTGTAAAAACGGGACATTACATGAAGCATTGCACCTTGATGATGAGATTCATGAAAAACTTTCATGGAATGCTCGTGTACATTTGGCACTTCAAGCAGCAAAAGCATTGGAGTGAGTACATTTTTCAACTTCTTAGCTTCAAAAAACAGAAAAAAAAAACACTCGTACAATTAAAATATTGTATGGGACAAATTAAAAATATGGTTGCAATCATATATTTGTTGTAGTGTCACAGCGACAACATATAAACAGACCTAAAATATGAAAAAGTTAAATCATGATTGTAAATGTTAGTGTTTTTATTTTTATAATGCTTTTTTTAAGGTACTTACATGAGACTTGTCAACCGATTGTTGCACATAAAAACTTCAAGTCAACAAATATTCTTCTTGATGAAGAGCTTAATGTACGTGTTTCGGATTGTGGTTTGGCCCCACTACTACCATCAAGCCACATTAGTAAGGTAATGCTCTTTTTATTATTATTTTTTTTTCAGTTTCATGAAGCAATAAAAAAATAACAATCGAATACTTGTAGAATTTTTGACATAATAGCGAAAAAAACACTTACAACACAAATAATTGGAGTTTTAGAGTGCAATGGAAACCACAAAGATCTTAAATAATTAATCAAGTAAGGAACTTATTACTTATGTATATGTTCTAAAAACAAAACGTTCGGTCTTAATTTCCGGGTTGAAAAAGAAAAAACGGAAACCCAGTAACCCACCCTAGAATTTCGATCAGTTTTTTAAAACAAATTGTTTTTTTATAAGTTTTATCAGATTATTAGATTTATGATTCGTGTTTGAATAATTATGATGATGAAAATTGACATGTGGTAATTTAATTAGTTGCAAGCGTCGGGATACGGTGCCCCTGAATTGGAATCGGGAAGTTATACTTATCAAAGTGATGTTTATAGCTTCGGAATTGTGATGTTGGAACTTCTCACGGGTCGAAAAGCTCATGACAGGTTTTTCCTCCTAATATCTTCTAACCCTTTTGAGTAAATTACACGAATGGTCCCTATGGTTTGGGGTAATTTGTGCATTTGGTCTCTAACTTAACTTTTAACTCAGAAAGTCCCTACTATTTGTTTTTGTTAGGCGCTTGGTTCATACTGTTTGTTTTTTTAAATTGTTACATTTGGTCCATTTCTTACCTAAAAAAATATTATTTAAATAATGAAAAATGGTGGTGGGTAGGTAAGGTGAGGTGAGAGGGTGGGGTTGAGAGTGTGTTTGTTACTCAAGTGCGTAACAAAAACAAACAATAGAGATCTTCCGAATTAAAAAAAAAAAGGTTAAGGACCAAACACGTAAATTACCCTAAACCATAGGAACCATTTGTGTAATTTACTCAAACCTTTTTTTTTCTTTGTGTTAATGAATGTTCAAAACCATATATATAAAATTTTGGTCAGTAGATTTTGATATCCGAGAAACCCTATCCAAATATATATTACTTTCTTTGTCTTTTACACAACCTAATCGCATATTAGTTTTATCTACTTAATAAATGAATTAAATTGCTTATTTATTACCTCTATTATCTACTTAATAAATGAATCAAATTGCTTCTTTATTATTACCTCTATTAAAGTTGTGTTTGGTAGATTTGAAACAACTTATTTATGTTAACTTATTTATTGTATACATGAAAGGCATATAAAAAAAGAATTATTACCTCTATTAAAGTTGTGTTTGGTATTGCCGTAGAACAGGTAACCTATAAAATAGTAACATTTTGTAAAACTAATTGATAAGGTAAATAAAAAAAAATATAAAAAGACATTAGCAAAAATGAGTTTGTAAGGGTTTATATTGGAAAATCATTATCTGAATACCGTATCCCTAATTTTGGATCGGATATTCAAAACTTCGGGTCAGATTATAATATTTTTAGCACCCTTGGTAATGACCAAAATGCCCCTCCCCATCTTCTAAAGCAAAGGAAAGTCCATTTTTGACTTCAAGTTCGAAGCATACTTGAATTTTCTTATTCTTGTTATCTACAAATTGTGTTGAGCTTTACTTTTATCTTTCGTAAAGATATATAATAATTATTGTATAGTTGGAAAACAAATCATTTGAATCTTTTGATACTTAAAATTAAATGTTAGAATTTTTATTTTTAGGAAGAAAGTCGTATTTATCTTTTTTTTTTTTTTTTCTAATGAATATTGCTCGATTCTTATATAGGACAAAACCTCGTGGGGAGCAATTTTTAGTAAGATGGGCAGTTCCTCGTCTTCATGATATAGAAGCGTTATCAAGAATGGTTGACCCATCTCTTGATGCCACGTGTACATCCAAGTCTTTATCTCGATTTGCAGATATTATTTCTCTTTGTGTTCAGGTTAGTATCTATAATTTTTATAATATAGTATATATAACGGGCTATAGAAAATAATGTTTCGATATGTTGTTTATAATCTTTTTCTTATTAAGTCACCATAATAAGAGAACGAACAACTGTAGGAGTGTTTGACAAATTTATGTTACTTTTATGAAACTAGTTATTTGATCACTAAATAATCAAATAATCAGAAACATAATATATTTTTCCAAACATTATAAAATGACTATTTGACACCCAAGTAGGCAAGTAGTGAGATAACCAAAACATCTTTGAAAAGGAACATGCAAACACTCGGATTCATGTCCATTAATGGTTTAAAAAAATGTTTAATATCGAAAATGAACCATTATAGGTGTCAATGATTTATATATATATTTTGTATGTTTCTTCAATTTTTGTAGGCCGAACCCGAGTTTAGACCACCAATGTCAGAAATTGTACAAAATCTCTTGCAAATGACCAAGATGAACCATTGAATTTTGGAATTGATGTTTCTTAAGGTTGTTGCCTTGTTGGTGTGCTAAATTCTTCATAGAATTTAGCTAATCTTGTCTTGATTCGATTTGTAAGTTAAATTTGTTGGTTGTGTTTGTGTAAAAAATATGTTTTGCTTTGGGTTTATTATGATGATGGTGGATATTGGATTGTGGGGGGACTAGCGAATGGCGATGCACTGGTGGTGGTTGGTCATATGGTTGTAGTTCATTCATTGGATGGGTGTAAGATTTTTCTTGAATGACTAAATACCTTTCTTGATTTAGTGTCTATTTGAGAACATAAGAAGTGTTGTGAATTTGTTATAAACTTAGATTTGGTTGTGGAGTATATAGAATTGGCACTTAAGAAGTTCTTAAGAAAAATGCGGTTGTATTCTCATATAACGTTAATTGAAAAATATAAATATAGATGTGGTTTTGGGAAAGTCTTTGTGCATGTGTAACAAGACGTTGAGGGGAGGGAATTTGCCTAGTCAAAGTCTTCAGCAGAAAAGACCGCAACAGGAGTTGAAGTGGTAAAACCATACAATCAACACAAATTCTTCAACTCCTGCTGCGGCCTTTTCAACTGAATAATTCATGATTTTCGGCTTGTGAGATAAGATAATTAAATACCGGACCTGGTTTAGAGGCTTGTATGGCAATAGAAAATGCTTCAAATGAAGCACCCAATCAACACAAAAACCATTGAATTTTATCGATCTCCTCTACCGGTTGACTAGTTTGCTGCAAGTTGATCACATAAACCTTTAAAAGCACGACTAAATTCAAAGATAGATAAGGTACCTTTATTGAGTTATCGAAGTTGATCACGTTGTTGAGTTGTCGAAGTTGATCATGTAAACTCTCAACTCGTTCAATGGAAAACTTACTATAAGCAGATTGAAGTGCAAGACCATATTTGGGCAGCAGTAGAAAAGCCAAGAACTTCAGAGATAGCTTCTTCAGAGAGAGACGAGAGGAGAAGATGATTGACAACAAGTTTTGTCACACCCCAAAACCGAGAACGGCGGAAACGTTATGGGGCAGAGGACGTCATGTACAGTATCACAACAATGAATAGTAGTAAACAAGCAACAACATAGTCCATTGCATTAATAATATAATTTTAATACAAGTGTTCTGACATGTTTAATAGACACTAAAGTATGAATCAAACTGAACGATGAGTCTTGAACGAGCTCCATCTTCTCTAAACCTTGCATCGGTACCTGTCTACTGTTGACCTGAGGATACAAGTTATTTTGAAAGAGAGTATCAGCTTTAAAGCTAGTGAGATCATAAGTATTCTAGTATCTGTATTTGTAATAATGTATTTGTAAGACTGTATTTGTAAGACTGAGTATGTAAAAGTTTTGAATAACCTAGAAAACCCTATGCTTCCTACTGAAAGTAGCCTTCTACCAAGGCATCTAGTATCTAACTGTGTCTATTGTAAGAGTGAGTATTTTCCTAAATTTAACTATCATTAACCAAAAATATATTATTTACATTGTCGTGCATCGTGTGAATGTTCACGAAGTGAATGTAATGGGGAAATAATAAAGTACTGTAGTTTGATAATAAGGGACTACTGATGTACTAACTACCTTAAACCAAATGAAATTTAAAGTAACATGTGATCGGCATGAATCCTACTACCGACTCAATAGTAAAACGACGATGTAAGACGCCGTAAGAAATGACATTTGGCACCCGTAGACTTGCAAGTCCCACTGTAGCGAGCAGCAAGATGTGGGATAGTCAATCCAGTATATATCTATACGCAAACTCATACGCTCCCCAATTAAGGAGATTCCAGATACAAAAACGGTAATGGCAGGTAGTGCCATGACCCGTTTAATGGCTTACATAACTTAATGTAATATATATGTAATGTATGCTAGCTGTATTGTATGTTCTCCTTCTGTCTAGCCTGTATGTTCTCTCTGTATAGTATTGTAATGTATTGTGTGTACTAGTTGTATTGTGTGTTCTCTCTATCTAGCAAGTATTGTAATGTTCTGTGTGTACTAGCTGTATTGTGTGTTCTCTTTATCTAGCAAGTATTGTAATGTTCTGTGTGTACTAGCTGTATTATGTGTTCTCTCTATCTAGCAAGTATTGTAATGTTCTGTGTGTACTAGCTGTATTGTGTGTTCTCTCTATCTAGCAAGTATTAACTCGTGCATGAACTGACTCTTTGTATGATTCATTGTTCTAGTATTAGTATTAGTAAAACCCTAAACTACGCTTATTGTAGCTTACTACTAATATAACTTTTACGTATGAACATAGAAGTATACCCTTGCTACCCACGGGTATTGAATTGATTGGAAGAACCTTTATGACTATATATGTACACATGATATATAACTAATAGTTAAACGACCTTCGAACGGATACCCGATATCCTACCAGACCACATCCTAACGAGGAAAAGGAAATAAGGCGGGTTAGCGTTCCTAAGTCCTTCAAACATTACTCACATAACTATACATATCTAGGAATGCAATTGACAATATAGAAGTATAAAAGAAGTTTTGTAAAACCTTTGAAAAGTTTTATAACTAGGAAAAATTGACTTGTTGTCAGTTTGTAAAACAGTTTGAAAACAATTTATTTGATAAGAATAGTTTAAAGTATAATGAAACCTTTGTTTTGGAAACAAAATCGTAACAGAGTTTTGAAGAGAAACATTTAGTATGTAAGACAGTTTGATAAAGAGTTCTAAACTAGTAAAAATGTTTTGGAAAGTCATTTAAAGTAATCTGTTTGGTAAAACCGCTAAAAGTGTGATAAATCTATTTGCATGCTAGTTATCAGTCACATGTGATTGATATAATAATTAACATGATTCAACTTGTATCCCCCCATAAAATCATTTAAAAGATAGATTAAGGGGTATGAACTCACATGTAGCAAGTGGTTGGGATGAACGGACTGTATAGGATGCTAGGTGTCAAGTGAAGACTTGTACACACTCTATGATCCTATTTAACATATAATATCACATATATGTAACCAATTAGCCTTTAAACAACTAAATAACAAGGTTAAGACATCCTAAGACATGTTAAACACTTTATATAAGTGTTATAAGTGCTAAGGAGTGCATCTAAGTGTTGTAGGACAAAGCTATTGAGCTTAGGGTTCAAGGGAACCCCTAAAATGAGTTTACTCCCAAAAGACCATCACCCCTTGAGTTTACGGTCGTAAACCCTTGATTTTACAGCCGTAAGCTCATAATCTTTTGACCATTTGATGGTTTGAAGTCTTCTAGGCCATTCCAAGCATTCCTACTTCATGTTTAAGCCTTAGGAAATGTTTTGTGGCATCAATACACTCCTTGATGGAGTTTACGGCCCATGGACCATTTCTCCATGAGTTTGCTGCCGTAAAATCCTATCGACTAAGGTATTTTGATGTTTTCAAGTCCCAAACACTTCATGGTAAAAGTCTAGGCTTGATTCAAGGCATAAGGAAGGAACATGGGCCATTTTTACACACCTTTGGGGTGTTTACGGTTTTGGGAGATCCCCAAACCGTAAACACATATAAATGAGTCATTTTGGTGGTTTTTATGTGCTAAAGACATCAAGGAAGGGGTCTAAATTGTTGGATTAATGTCTAAGTCCATAACTATAATTGGTAAAACTTGACCCGACCCGGCATGGTCCATTTGGGTTGCATACCATCATGCACTTGGATAGACTAAATGAGAGAAATAAGACACTTATGGTTATTAATATATTATAAGTTCTAGTATATTAATAATAAGAATAATGAGATTATTTAATTAGTATTGATCAAGAATTAATCTAGCATTAATTGAGTGATCAAAAGAAGACTAATTAAATATGTGGGTTGATTGTGTAAATCATCCATACTTGTATAGTGGGCTAATGCTCCATGGATTATCTAGTTGGGCCAAAACCCATATGATGCTCCATGGATGCTCCATGGTGTATTTTAACCCATGGATCCAAGGAAATGGAAAGTCATGACAATTAGGGTTTACCCTAATTGTATAACTATATAAGCATCTTATTCTTGAGGAAAAGCGGCCACTAGTGAGAGTAAGAAAGGGCTAGCCGATTTCATGAAGTGTAGAATTCTCTCTAAGTTATTCTAAGTGTTTTGATGATTGTGAACCATTTGAGGTGTCACACTTGGGGCACTAGGCACTCAAGCTTCATGAAGACAAGAACCATCAAAGAGGTATGTATTCTATCTTGTTATATTGATAGTTTTGTATGCTAGTTTAGGATAATACCTTGGATATTCATATTTGCATGTATAATAGAGAAAACATAGATCCAAGGTATTTAGGGTTGCATGTACACTTAGGAGTGTTAGAATGCTCATAACCCAACAGTGGTATCAGAGCCTAGGCTTGTTTTCTTGTTATACCTGCAATAGAAGCTGAAAAATCGAAATTGGTGCTGTCAGCCCAGCAGACTCGCCGAGTCCATGAAGGGACTCGACGAGTCCAAGGCAAAATGCATCCAACTCGCCGAGTTTTGTTCATGCACTCGACGAGTTGGATCCCAGACAACATATTTTCGAGTTTTTTGGCTAGAAATGGACTAGGAACATTACCCTAAGTTGTTTTTGAACTTATAAACTTGTTTTTTAATGTGGTAATGTTCATGCTAATCCTTTTTCAAAGATAATTGTCAATAGATTCATGTTTTGTATTAGTTTAAAGGTTAGACTAATTACATGAAAAAGTTTGATTTGAATTATCTTGTTCTTATGAGTTGCTTAGATTAATAGAAAAGTTAATTGAAATAGTTGTTTTCAATCCATTTTAATCTAAGAGTTGAGTATAAAATGTGTTTGTGTAACTTGTCCTCAAGTTACATGAAGAGTCACATTAAAGACTCATAAAACTCATAAAATTGGCAAAGGTTACAAAAATGAAGAGTCTAGTTCTAATTAATTGGAGTTATGACTCCATAATTTGTCCTCAAGTTATGGAGGACCAAGAGTCTCTTCATTAATTAAATAAAAAAATAAGTGTAACCTTAATTAATTCCATAAGTTATAAAATAAAGAAAAGTTAATTCTTTTATTAGTTTAAAGTCTTCCATAACTTGTCCTCAAGTTATGGAACTTGAAGAGTTTTTGGATTAAAACTACTTTAAACACATAAGTTATGGAATTAATTAGTTTTGAATAGTTTCAAAACTTGCCCTCAAGTTTTGGAATTTGTAAAGTTTTCTCTTATGAATACTTTAATTCCAAGTTAGCCCTTAGAATTTTAAAAGTTAAAATTCAACCCTTATACTTTATAATATTATAAGTTAATAATATATATATATGTATAAGAGTAAAGCCAGTTTTACCGCTAGTACGCCTCATTCACGAAGCTGATCTATAAGG